ATTGATTTAAAGAGGAATAATTAGTTGTGACCTTGTATTACCGATGTACTGACTTCAATCCATTGACGAGTTACTGATTTAGAGAGGAGATAAGTGATGAGTGTGGGACTACGATCTGATGAAGAGTCTTATCTAGGTTCAGAGAAGAACTTGAGACAAGTGTTGGATTTGGAGGTTGAGACGAGTATTGCATTTGTATTGTTTGTCACATTCATGCATCATGTACATCAGAGATAGGTGTATGAACTTTTGTCTAGTGACAATTTTCTGGTTTAGAAGTGAGGACCAGTGACGAGTCTGGGACTTTGGTCCAATGACGAGTTCTAGGTTCAAAAGTGGGGACATTGGATGAATTTTAGTTCATAGAGGAACCACCAGTGGATGGATAAATCAATAACATAATTCTGATATCCAAAATTTGGTACCACATGCACTAGAATAGATGAGATGAATACATTGCATACATAACTATATTTGTGATTGACTATTGTTATAAATGATCTATGTGATTGATGGACGATATTATTGAGTTGTCCTTGTTGTTCCATGCATAATTAACATTTATGAATGTATTATGTTGTTCTTTACCTCTGTGGTACATATACTTAGGTACAAGAGTCTTAGCTATTGTTGAGTTCAAGGATGGCTTAATGGTCTTCTTCATGGTTTATTGCTTTTGATTATATTTTAGATTCTACATGTCGCTTTAATAGTGTAACACTAGGATGCGTTACCTTTACTATTTGTGTTATGCTAGTTTTTTTAATTAAACCTCTTTTATTTAAATGAAGTAATTTATATATTGAGACAATTAAAGTTGAAAATTGATGTTTTTGAATTCCACTGCTATATTATGAATTTTTGAGTAAGATGTATGTTGATAAAATGTAGCGCCCTTTTTGAGAAAATTAGAATGCATTATTGTATAAAATAAGCGTTTTGGGGTTTATGATGTTATGTAGTTGGTACCAGAGCAGGTTGGTTTATTTGGCCTAGATTTTGTGAACTTGTTTATTTCCCTAGTATACGACATGTGTGTGAACATGTTGAGGGTAGCGTGATGTGAGAATTAGAGATAACCAAATGAGAGAGTATTATCCTGACTTGTTTCCTTTAGGTAATTTTTTAGGGCGAACTTTTTTTAAGTGTGAGAAAGTTGTAACACCCCAATTTTTGGTTTAATCATTTTAATTGACATCAAAATACTTTAATTTATTTTATTTGAGTGTTAGAGTGTTTTAATTGATTTATTTGGTATTTTTGGAAATTATTAGAATTTTTAGTTATTTAAAAATAATAGAAATAATAGAAAAATGTGTGCTTAAAAATAATGGAAATGTTAATAGCCAAAGCTTTATCCTTGTTGCAAATTCGAGGTAAGGGGGAAAATTTTCATGTATGGGCACATCAGCAGATGTATAGTAATGGATTCTTATCCTCCCCCCTCCTTCCTTTTTTCCCCCTATTTGATGATGTTTTTCCTGTTTGATGATTTATGAGGCCGGTGAAGGTTTGCGCGAAAGGACCATTTATTTTGAATTATACATATACATTTAATTTGTTATATTTTTGTAAATGACATGAATTATGTTAGCTATATAGTAAAGTTTGCAAATTTCATGGATGTGTGCATGGTTAAACAAAATATTATGTGTTATGGGCTGGTCAGAATACCAAATAGTTACGACTCAGATAATAGATTAATCAAGTGCATGTGATCTAAATACATGATCCATCCAGCAAATTCTTGTATCCCACGCCAAAAGATCTAAAAACATTCATAACTGCTCCACTATATAAGGATGAAGCTGCCATTTTGACAAGTACAATTCAAATTCAAACTTCATTCGCTCATCTTACTCTCATGGTGACTTGAGTGTTGGAGTTCTAACCTTAAAGGTCAACCCATATCTCAACAGCACCAGAAGCTCAAGTTCACTGTTGCGATCCACAACCTTTGTTCTCTGATCAATTTATTTACCATTCCTAAATAATGGTGTCATGTATGGCAATTGACATCTGTTACCGGTGTCTTCCATGATTGAACAGTCATGTCCCGATTCATTGAACCATAGAGCTTCCTCAACCTAAAAGTTAAGATCTCCTAAATTTCAACCATTAATATTTGTTCGGATCTCCTCCAATCAAAGATCAGCTACACTCCTCAAATCTCCACAAATTTTACTAGAAATAGCATGTTCTAGAGCCATTTTCTCTGTTGTGCAACATAAAATAGTCACCCTAGCTCAAGCTGTAATTGCAAGAACGTGACGATCTAGTCATCGTAAACACTTTGTCTGCATCATCGCATCAAGATCCCATCCATCCTCCCCTATTCGTAAGTCCTGTTCCAAAATTTCACTAACGTGAACTATCATTCAGGCTTCTAGCAACATTAGTGGTGCCAAGACTAGAAGCGCTACATGGATTCCAACTAATGTAAGCCAATCTTGAATTAGACTAAATCACTTCTTCCTTTACAAACCCTCATGCTTAAGATCTAACATACTACTATATTTAAAAAGGAACCATAGGAAAAAACACAAGACTCACCAAGAGCAGCCAGATAAAACATATATGTTGCCCAAACTAGGGTTCCTAATCGCCCATTTATTACAACATGCACCCATTATATGGTACATGTGCTCGTTGACTACTTCACTCTCCCACTTATGAAAACATGGAGAATGACGTGTCTTTACCCCATAACGCTAGGAGAGATACATTCAAAGAAGGAACCCATGTTCCCCTAAATAGTAAGGGAATAATGACTCCACTTCCCACACTCCTGAGATAAGGATACAAAAACCACTCTCTTGGGACTTAAGATCTAGGCCCAAATAATTCTTATAAATACCTCAACCATAAGGTTAATGACGAAACACAAAACTCACAAAGGGCATACGGATAAAACACATATATTGCCCAAATTAGGGTTCCCAATCGCCCATTTATCACAACAGGCGCCCATTATATAGTACACACGCTCGTTCCCTACTTTACTCTTCCACTTGTGAAAACATGAAGAATGGTGTTTTAGGAGAGGAAAATACATGCACAGATAGATAAACCAATGCATGTTTTTTTGTTGATTACGACACTTGATGAGATTCACTTCGTATTTGTGTTTTTAAAATTTGTTGAGATAGGTTGGATATGTCCAGTTAACTTTTTTGCTAGTTTTTTAATGGGTTAGATTTTACATCCACTTATTCTTTTTGTTTTTTATTTTTTATAATAAATTGATTTTAATTTAAAAAATCAACTAAGTTAGGAATATTCTCCTATTAAATAAATTCAAAATGGAATTTTCAATAGCAGTATTTTATATATCTAAATTTTTATTTAAATATTCATGTGTTTTACATTCAAATTCAAAAAAGATATAAAAATTGTTAACAATAGTTAAATTTAGACTTATCTTTAATATTATGATGAACATTTAAAAAAAATTCAATTAATATTTAAAAGAAAATAGAATGAAGATGCCTCACATAATAATTATATTTTTCTAAGAACAAAATTCATTGATATAAAGTATAAGGGGTACTCTTACCCATTAAAATCAAAATACAAGAGAAGAGATTTCCAATCAACACCAACTAGCCTAAGCAACTAAAATGAGTCAAGCTAAATTGATGAAAATTAGAGTTGGAGTAAGAAATATCTCCTATGCAAGACCACTTCCAAGCTAAAAATTGTATGTTCTATATAATATCGTTAAGATTACAAATACTGTCATTGAAGACGATACCACTCCTAACCTTCCACAGACACTAAAATACCGACAACCAAATTATACCCACTTTGACACTTCTCGCTTGGTTGTTAATTATCCCACACCAAGCTAAAAAATGCTTTTAAGAGATGCCCACAAACGACGCACAATAACAAGTCCAAGCTCCCACCGAGTCCCAAACTTTCGAAGATACCAGACATTTGAAGAGAAGATGATTCAAATCTTCTTCCGATAGAGAACAAAAGACACAAGTTCCATCGTTGATAGAACGATACAAACCTCTTTTTTCCAGTTGATCTTTCGTGGCCAATCTGTTTAAAAATATCCTCCAACTAAAGGATTTAATCTTCGCCATAACTTGTATCCTCCATATAATGCCAAAAGCACGACAATGATCAATCTTCAGCCTCTCCTGAATTTTAGAACCCATTATACTTTGATAACCTTCTCTTGTAGTGTAAATTGCATTATCACTATCACTCCACTGCATAACATCCTTTGCTCCAATTACAGGTGAAAAACTAGTCAACAAATTCATTAAACAAATGATTTTGTTTGAAACAAAATTATGCAGCAACAATGGAATACCAAAACATCCCCAGTTTCATACGTCGTTATGCCATCCACCCATATTAATCACAAAAGCTTATTTGCATTTACTGATATCAAACAAATCAGGAAAGGAACTTGCAAGAGAAGGACCTCCGCACCAGTTAGCCGACCAAAAGGGAACCAAGGTTCCCTCTCCAAGTTTAAACTTAATTGTACCTGCAAAAAAACCAAAGTTAGTTGTTAAACCTCTAATTTTGATCATGTCCTTCCACCAATTAGATGTAGATCTTTTAAAATTTCAGTTTTTCTCCATCGAGATATGATGCTCAACTTATTCATATCTAGCTTTTAAAACTCTCTTCCATAAAGCACTCTCTTCACCTAAAATTCTCCACTTCCATTTTGTAAGCAGAGCCAAATTAAATTCTTCTACACTTTTAATACCAAGACCATTCATCTCCTTATTTTTGCAAACATTATCCCATTTCACCCAATGGATCATTGACTTCACTTCTGAACCTCCCCAAAGAAAGCGCTTCCTGGTTTTATCAATGTCTCTCCAAACTTTCATCAGCGTTTTGTAGAAAAAAAGATAAAAGATAAGAATGTTGTTGAGGATCGAGTTGATAAGGGTAGTTCTGCGTGCAAATGATAGAAACCTCCCTCTCCATAAAGCTATCTTGGATTTAAATTTATCAATAATACGAGTCTAAGATTTAATCCCTCTAGGGTTGGAACCAATAGGGATGCCTAAGAAGTTAAAACTTGGTTCCTCGATCTTGCAAGATAGAAAATTAGACGCAACAACAAGAAAGTGATTACTCACATTGATACCAATTAACATACTCTCATGGAAGTTAACACTAAAAACTGAAACAAGATCGAAGCCCCTTAGAATAGCTTTAATACTCCATAAGTTCTTCCAACCTCGTTCTCCTATGATAAGAGTATCATCCACAAATTGAATGATTTCCACCGAAAGCCCCTCATCCACTCTAAAGCTTTCAAAATCGCCCCTTTTTGAAGCATATATCAAACTCGATAATCCTTCAACAACTAACACAAAAAGAAATGGAGATAGAGGATTTCCCTTCCTTAGCCCTATTCCCACCTCAAAATCCTTAGTAAGGTTATCATTGAACAATATAGACACATGAATCTTAAAGATACATGCTTCCATCCACCTCATCCAAGTATTCCCGAATATCATTTTAGCCACCATATATTGTAAAAAATCTCAATTGACACAATCGTAAGCTTTCTTGAAATCTACTTTGCACATAACACACTCCTTCTTGTCTTTAGTAGCTAAATCCACTATTTTGTTGGCTATGAAAACCCATCCAATAATTATCTTCCAAGAACAAAAGATGATTGGCAATGAAAAATTAATCATCCTAAAATGTTTTTCAGCCTAATAGCTAACAATTTTGCAATGATCTTACATAAACATCCCACAATGCAAATAGGCTTGTAATCTTTAAGGTTGAAGGGTTGAGCAACTTTAGGAATAAGGTAAGAAAAGAAGATGTGACAACCTTCTAAAGGAACGCCTTAACATGAAAGTCCTTCACAAAATTAGTAATACCCTCCTTCAAAATGTTCCATCAACTCTTAATGAATACAAAGTTGTATTCGTCGGATCCCGGGCTCTTGGATCCATCACAACCCTACTCAAACTCTTTTATTTTCTCATCTAATAAAGGAGCCTTCAAATACTTGACTTCGGCCAGAGTGAGAGATTTCACAAAAACATCTTCCAAAGACGGTATATTCTCTTCAGGTTTAGAGAATTTGTTCTTGAAAAAGCACCAAATTGCATCCTTGACTTCAACAACTGACTCAACCATTACTCTTTGTATGTTAACAGTTCCAATGTACTTTCTCCTAGTCTCCCTTTACTGTTGGTTCAAATAGTATATTCATCCAAGTTCCACATCGGGTAGTAAGAAGAGAATATAATTTAAATATTAATATAAATACAGATATTTGGTTTTACTTTTCTACATGACAATGCAATGTAGTCTTTTAGGTGGGGATTTGGGTAGTCGTGTATCTAGAGAAGGTTTTTTATTTTCCATTCAAAAATAGGTTGTTGAAAGGATTTTCTATTTTTCTGTTCAAAAAATAAATGGTAAGAGGGTTTACAATTTTTCCGTCCAAAATTTGCAATTGAGAGAGGGTTTACAATTTTTCCGTCCAAAATTTGCAATTGAGAGAGGGTTTACAATTTTTTCGTTCAAAACTTGTAATTGAGAGAGGATTTGCGATTTTTCTAATAAAAAATTGTAATTGAGAGTTTGTAATTTTTTCGTTCAAAAATTAAAGCCGGGGGAGTTTGCAATTTTCTCCTTATAAGTTGAAATTGTGTGAGAGGGTTTGTTGTCATTGTAAAAATTACAAGTTGAATTATGTTTTAATGAGTTTTTGTTTGAATTTTTGTTTCTTTTTGTTTTTGTGGGTATGCTTCTGCATGTGTAAATTTTCTTTTTTGTTATTTTCCCAACAACTGATATCAGATACTGGTTCCGATAAGGGAGCAGGGAAGAGTCACAAATAATCATGATCAAGCGGAAAAGGAAGAGTAACAAAAAAAATTTATCATGGGAGAAAGAAGACAAAAAGATTGAAGAGTAATAATTTTATAAATGTAGTTAACTATTGTAATTATAATGATCTTTTTAAACATAAAGTTGAAGACAAAGTGAAGATATGTGAGACTTTGGATGAAGGGAGGATTTGTGGGTCAAATAGTATATTCATCCAAATTCCACATCCGGTAGTAGGAAGAGAATATAATTTGAATATTAATATAAATACAGATAGTTAGTTTTACTTATCTACATAACAACACAACGTAGTCTTTTAGGTGTATTGGAGATTAAGGTAGTCGTGTGTCTAGAGAAGGTTTTCTAGTTTTCCGTTCAAAAATAGGTTGTTGAGAGAATTTTCTATTTTTCTGTTCAAAAATAGTTGTTGAAAGGATTTGTAATTTTTCCGTCCAAAAATTGCAATTGAGAAACGGTTTACAACTTTTCCGTCAAAAAATTATAATTGAGATAGGGTTTACAATTTTTTCGTTCAAATATTATAATTAAGAGAGAGTTTGCGATTTTTCTGATAAAAAATTGTAATTGAGAGATGGTTTGTAATTTTTCCGTACAAAAATTACAATTTGCAAGGTTTGCAATTTATTTTTTAAAAGTTATAATTATATGAGAGTTTGTAATTTTGTCAATGGAAAAATTAAAGTTGAATTATGTTTTAATGGATTTTTGTCTGAATTTTTGTTTTTGTTTTTGGATATACTTCTGCATGCACATAATTTTATTTTATTTTTTTATTTTCCCAACATTATCGTATTGTGTAAAAAACTGTATGAAGCCTGCCTCTGCACTTTAATTTTTATTTAAAAGAAATGCTTAATCAATTTTTTTTTCAAATGTATACCATCATATAAAAGATAACTCTAAACTTAACTATTATTAAAAGTTTCTAAATCATAGAGAGAAAATATGTAAAATACGTTTGTTAAACGTCTTCCTAAATATGTCATCACATCACATGCTTCAGATTCCCTACTGATGATTTTATTTCAAGGCAACATACAACTTCCTTCTATGCACATTTATAGTAAAAGAAACTAAAACCTAAAAAACTAGAAGGAAAAAAAGTACCCTATATTGTCTAACCAAATTCCTCATGTGCCAGCAACTTTCACATAAGGACATAGTAATTCTTGACATGTGAGTACATATTCTTTCCTTTATCATTACTTACACATATTCACCTAATTGATACACGTGGATGGTATGGCTCTGCTACTAAAAAAACATTTTACATTTTCTATGTCAATTATATAAGGTGTATAGTGATATATTCCGAGTGGGCACTTCTTGATATGTGATATGCATGTTGAGGTGGAACCAAACATGCATGTTAAATTATTTTCTACTTTTTCGTGAGTTTACCATATTAGTATCTTTTTAGACAAAACGAAAGATAAAGAGGAAAGAGGTGTAGGAAATATGAGAGATTGTCAAGCAACAGACAGATCTACCTACATAAGGAGGTAAGAAAACTAAAGTAGGGTTAGCGTGCAGGCTACTCCACATTCTTGTTTTGCTAATTTAGTTATATTTTAGTATTAAATGTACTATCTTACCTTGATCTACAAAATAATCGAACTTGAGAATTCTGATTCATATTAGGCCTCCCTGCTTAAAGCATATATTTGAATAGAACAAAATTAGAGGAAACACCTTTTTTTTTTTTTTTTTTATTTATATATATATACTATCGTTCAAACGGACATTCTATATGCTTATCATCCGGTTTTTTAATGCGTATTTAAATAAAAATATAAATTATATTTTTATATTTTCATTTATTTTAATTTAAATTATTTATAAAATATGAAAAAATTAAATAAAGAGATGTTCAAACCGCCATAAAACCATTAGTAAAAAAGAAATTGAAATTTAAAATAAAAACTGAAAAAGATATTATTGAAAAAAAATAGTTTACACCAAAATCAAATATATATATATATATATATATATATATATATATATATATATATATATATATATATATATATATATATATTTGCTAACGAAAAAACAAGTGGGTCTACATTAACAAGTCTCATATATATATATATATATATATATATATATATATATATATATATATATATATATATATATATATATATATATATATATATATATATATATATATATATATATATATATATATATATATATATATATATATATATATATATATATATATATATATATATATATATATATATATATATATATATATATATTTGATTTTCGTTTTATATATTCTTTATAATGATAATAATAAATTTAAAGAAGATAGATAGTAAATACTTAAGTACATTATATAAAACAATAACATTAATTGATATGGTAAAAAAATTAATTTAATATAATTTTTTATTTAATTTTATGCAATTTCAAGATTTTCGTTCTGCATTACATCATGTGATAAAATAAGAATTACTCTGTGACCATTTCACAATGATAATCACTCGATTAGGAAATCAAGTGAAGGTAAGTGGAGAAACAGACGAAGCATTATGTTGTCACAAAAATCTTGCGTTTTTTAACACTAAGGTTTGACAACGTGGTTGTAGCGATTGAGAAATCAAAGGATCTTGTGACGATGAGTAAAGAGGAGCTACAAAGCTCTCTTGAGGCTCATGAGCAAAGGGCGGAGGAGAGAAATAATGATAAGGTAAAGGCGGAGATCGCTTTGCAAGTGCGTTTTAACGAGAAGGACAAAAGATCGAAAGGAAAATGACCCATGAAAAGTAAAGGGAATTTTTAGAATTTTGGTCGAAGAGGGTTCTAAAATTCCCAGAATTAGACTTGTCAAAAGGGTGAGAGCAGCTGCAACAAAAATGGTTGTCAAGGAAGCCTTAGAGGTGAAAGAAGAGGATTGACAAAAGTAAGGCGCAATGCTTTAATTGTCAAAAGTTCAGACATTTTACTAGAAAGTGCAATGCAAACAAGAAGGAACCTCAAGGAGATGACACCAAGGTTGTAAGACAAGAGTTTGATGAGGAGAACACACTCTTGATCATGATCATGGAAGGAGAATGCAACAGCTGCATGTTGCAGGACAACAACAACACCAGTTTTAGAAACGCTACACAAAAAATGTTGTAATCGGTTACGTAAAAGCTATAACCAGTTTCAAGCAGAAGAAAATATAATGATAAGAATGAAAGGTTTAGTTTAGTGCAATTAGGAATGATATATGGACTCCGATGTTCTACTCATATGACGGGGATGAAGGTTTGGTTTGTTAAAATAAATCATGCCATGAAGAACAAAGTAAATTTCGTAGATGACACCACTCTAGCAGCCAATGAGATCGACGATGTTTTGTTCATGAGAAGGATGGTGGACATTCCTTGATCACAGATGTATTCTACATTCCAGAAATCAAGTGTAACCTTCTAAGTATTGGTCAATTACTTGAGAAGGGTTACAAGATTCACATGGAAAACCAGAGGCTACGTGTATGGATGCCAATAGGGTTTTGGTCCTAAAAGCTCCTATGGTTGACAATAGAATTTTCAAGGTTGAGCTGAAGGTTATAGAGCATAGATGTATTTCTACATCGGCTAATCGAAAAGAGTGGATATGGCATTATCGTGTTGGGCATCTA